ATAATCAGACATCCCCTGAATAGGACCAGTAATAATCAGACATCCCCTGAATAGGACCAGTAATAATCAGACATCCCCTGAATAGGACCAGTAATAATCAGACATCCCCTGAATAGGACCAGTAATAATCAGACATCCTGAATAATCAGATTGCATTTGTCACAGGGCTTTTCTGATCTTAACTTTGTGAATAATTAGTGTAATTTATATTTTGACTTTTGAGTTCCCTCTGTGTATTCTTTGCTAACAACAGATAAATCATTGACAACTCAGTAGGAATAAAGAAAGAACACAAGACCTACAATTACATCCAAAGACATGTTGGTCCATAATTCAATAGAAATCTCAAATGAATTAACTGGAAGTCTATTAATCTGACCCCGTTACAGCTCAGCAACCTCTCCTTCTATTCCAATACGTGGCTGTTTGTTTCCTTGAATAGTCTGCACAAGAATTTCACAAAGACTACAAAAGATAAGGCAGAGAAATCACTTGGTCCGCGTTGGGAGATTACATGTTGAGAAATAGAAAAATCAAGAGATGTGTAATCTGAAAGCTCAGTTGTAATTGAAAGAGTGAAAGGAAGCTGTGTTTGTGAGAGTGAAAGGAAAAAGGCTGTGTTCACATTTGACTCTGGCCTGGCACCCCGCTGTGACATCACGGAGAGCAGGAAACATCACCACTTCCTGTTTTGTGAACTCTGGTACAGTAATCTAAAAAAGACACGTAAAATGTTGAGATAAGATTATATGGGATGCAAATGATCTCACACTGTGTATCTGCTTTCCTAGTGACTTCTATTCCCTTTGGAGCAATGATCAATAATGTGTTATGTCTGCAATTATCCTTAATGATCATCATTGAGCGGGGAATTTATTTACGAGGGCTTATTTACGATGGGTTCAAAATATATTTCCATTAAGGAAAATACCCTGAGTATACCACATGGATACCTTGGAGACTCCCTCACTATGGCAACCATTTGAAGTGATTATATAGGCCTATGTTCATGTATTACTTGCACAGTGAATCTACCTCAGTGCAAGCATTTTTTATGGGGATAGTTTCATAGCTGCCAACATGGTGACATCCTGTAGCTAAGCCAATGCAAACACACTAGACACTAGACTAGTCTGACTGATGGTCATGTGTTTTAGGTAGAACTGCAGAAGATGAACAATATATATCTGTGTGTGTGTGTGTGTGTGTGTGTGTGTGTGTGTGTGTGTGTGTGTGTGTGTGTGTGTGTGTGTGTGTGTGTGTGTGTGTGTGTGTGTGTGTGTGTGTGTGTGTGTGTGTGTGCGTGCACAATGACAAAACGGGTGTTGGCCATGACACAACTATTACCTGTGTCATGGTGTAAAAACCTAAATAATGATGGCAAGATGAGCTCAGCTGAGAGAGTGATGTGGAGACAGTACAGGCCTGTGCAGCAGAGATGAGGGAGCACTCTCTCTCCCTTTCTCTCTCTCTCTCTCTCTCTCTCTCCCTTTCTCTCTCTCTCTCTCTCTCTCTCTCGCTCTCTCTCCTCTCTCTCTCTCTCTCTCCTCTTCTCTCTCTCGTCCTCTCTCTCTCTCTCTCTCTCATCTCTCTCTCTCCTTCTCTTCCTCTTCTCTCTCTCCTTCTCTTCTCTCGCTCTTTCTCTCTCTCTCTCTCTCTCTCTCTCTCTCTCTCTCTCTCTCTCTCACTTTCAGCGAGGGACCAGGGATTAATTAGATATCAGCTGCTGAGCAAGGAGAGAGGGGGAGAGTAAGGGAGGGGGAGAGGAGGCGAGGGTGAGACTGCAGTAGGGAGAAGCCCTGTCAGGGAGGGAAGCATTCCTCTCTCTTATCTGCTGCACTGCGTGGGCCATGCCATGGGGGGGACACTGATGCTGAGGAGAGAAGAGAAGAGGGAGGGAAGGGGGTTCCCGCCTCCGCCAAACCACAAGAGGAAAATACCACAACAATTTATTGGTGGATCACGCCCTGTATGTCTTTTTATCCTGTCTTTTATAACTCTTAAAATGGTGGATGACCTTCCGTTTTTCCCATCTCGTATCTGAGATACTAGCCTGCATCATTTGACTTAATAGCTGCTTACTGTTCAGAAGACTATCACAAACCCATTGTATTGCCAAAAATACAGTACATTTACTCACATATTTATTTGCTGTCTCCACAACAGAGAAAATTCAATCACTGAGTATGAGATGGTCTTATTGCAACTGTAATGACTGCTGTAATAACATTAGTTGTTGGTGTTGTAAAAAACAGTAGGCCGATATAATTTAACAAAATGACTACCATAAAACTTCAATTAAACGTCAAGTCTCAAATAGCTGCCTGTCCTTTTTAATTGCCGGCAACGGCACACATTTCAGTAAAGAAATGCTTGTTTCAAATCAACTCTGGGTCTAAATGAATTGTTTACAAGGTTACCATGAATTGTGTACCAGGTGTAGAGCTGCAATATCTAACTTTTTGGGTGACCTGAACCAAATTCACATAGAAATGTGAGTTATAGATCTGTCATTGTCATTGAAAGCAAGTCTAGGAAGCAGAATATATTTTATATGTATGCCAATAATCAGTTTTTATGCCTGTAAGAAACTGCTAGCAATTTGCTGCTAACAGCTGAGAACTGCTAGCTAAGTGACAAGCACAAAAACATTCAACAATTTCAGGAGTACATACTAGTGGCAAAAGTAAGAACTGCCGAAAATGCACAGTCAAAGAGGAGAATATGAATTATTCTGTCAAGGAAAAGTTGTTTTTTTACTGTGACATTCGGCGGAGTCTCTATTAGTGCACTAACATTTTTATGAGTCTAATACTAAATACATGTCATTTAACGGTAAAATGTATTACATTTTAATGTGGCATGTACAAAACCAGTCATGATGCTTTTATCTGATTGTCAAACAAATTACTTCAAAACATTTGATGAATGGAAAGAGACATCTGTTACAAACACCATAAGTGTAATGACATTCGGTGAATGTCATTAGGCGTACTTCACAGAGGTGTCTATTATTCATGAAGACATAAATGTGAACATTAATCCCTAGACTGAACCAGAGTCATAAAGTAGGACAAATTACATAACAACCTGTGATCTGGGATATCTGAAGCCAGTCACGTAGCAGTCAATAGCCCCTCTCACACTGCGTAGCCGACACACTGAGCCAGGGAAACCTGCCAGTCTCTCACTTCTTCTTTCTCATTTCACGCAGCACCAAAAAAATGTGATGGCATTATGTGACAGCTCAGTTTTGTCCTATTTTACCATCATTAATACGAAACCAAGGAAGTCTGCCAGAAATAGGGAGCATGCTCAGTTGAGATACCACTGCGTCGAGGGCTTTATTGCGCCTGGCTTGACTTCAGAGAACCCGCCACAGAGAACAGAACAGGCAGAACGGAGCACATCTCTATCGGATCGAACGCTCTTACTTGTGTGTTCAAATAAGAACATTTTACTGTATTATATAGCCAAATATTGCAATAAAGTTTTCTCTTTGCGTTTTCTGGAATTCATGCACTGTTTGAGCCCCAAACGTGGGGCAATCCAGTATCACTTTCTCACCTAAATAGAATATTGCAGTCTTTTAAAAATAGCTCCCGTAGCCTAAATAGTGTCCAATAAGTAGATAGAGCCGAGAAAGAGACTCGCCTGAATTGAACAAGAAACCCCCCATGGGCAGCGGAGTTGGCTTTGACCTGTATGTCCAATTGCGCAGAGAGCAAGTTTATGATCAAAGGTCTAGTGAAATAGCTTACTGTACAGTGCCATTTTTTGTGCAACCTACAAATCTTCCATAATGAACAACTTCATGCAATAGCATAGGCTATAGTTTGATTAGTGCCCAGAACACATGGTTTGCCCAAACCATCTTGGACAACATCTCGCAAATAATCTTGCATTGAGTGAGTCTTGCTCTGAAGATATATTGAACTCTAATGGAAGTAAGAATGTTTGCGGCCACTGAAATAAATGGACACTTCTTTTTGATTAAAGATCAGATTGTGCCAAGAGTAACAGCTGTCCCAAGACTAACATTACGACCGCTATACTACCAGGCCACTGGAGACAGTAGGGATTTGTTTTATATATATGTGTATATATCCAAACAATTGTGATCTAGCCTATTGCATAATAACTTTTTTTTTTTTTTTTTTTTTTTACGTGCTGGATTTGAACAGGTCTTGCACATTTATTGCCGAGCTCTGATCAGAATTACCACTGGAAACGCTTAATAAGAGCAAGGAAGTGGAAACCCACCGGAACCGGTTCGTGTGACGGGACAACCTTATATGGCGTGTCATAGCCGAGGTTCCGGCAATTGCGGAGCGCTGCATTGATAAGGAAACTGCATTTATTCCGAAAACAACGGCAAAACAGCAGTGGCCGTCGCTTATTTCTATATGGAAACTACTTTTGTTATAATATGCACCGTGTGAAATATCTGAATTTTGTACAATATCTGGATAAACAGTCTCCCGCTCTCTCCATTTACTCTGACAAGCCTTCTGTGTACTCCACTGCGTTGCCTAAATATGGCTTTCCTCCTTTCCTTATTTGGACATTTACGTCACGGCAAGAGGCTTTATAAAGCGGTGGAATCCTCAGCCTAGTGAAACAGTTCTCGGAGCCAAACAGATCTTATGACAGTACACGACAGAGCAGACAGCCCCATAGTAGGCTAGTTTAGAATTTATTCTAGCACACACCAAACACGTGAACTAAAAGAGAAAACACAACAACTACACATTTCTTAATTCTTGATCATACTCACACGTCAGGATTATTAGAAAAAAATGAATGAACCACAACATTGTTTTTGAAGACTGGGACCTTTTGCAAAGAAGCGTAGTTGAAAGCAGCAAAACCTTTGAGATCTTTCAGCATGGGATTCCTCTGACCATCTTCCTCAACAAGTGCAGCAGCAGCATCTTCAGAGTTCCCCTCTAAAGCCAGCTGGTAATCTCCTCTCACCTGAGACAAGCAGCACCAGCACCATGGCTGCAACCAAGACAGAGATGCTCCTCTCAGCCCTTCAGATCTCAGACCCACTAGGCTTCCCCTACTCTCCCATGGACAGCTACCCCAAGTTGGAGGAGCTGATGTTGCTCCACTCCGCAGGGACCCCGTTCCTGGCTGCCTCCACAGCAGAAGGTGTAGGCTTTGGGACCGGGGAGCCAGGAGACTCATACGAACATCTGAATGAAGGTAAGGGCTGCTCTAACTCTAAACTCTTTATGGTTTCATTCAGAAATATGCATGAAAATGTGCATAATCTTTTAGGTTGCATTTGAGTTCTGACATACAGTCTATGCAAAAAATATGAATATGCTAAGATGTTTGGATAAACTATAAATAGCTTTAAAAAGTGTTATTATTATAGTGCATAGAGCTATACTGGTATTTGTCTTCTTTAACGATTGGATGATTGAATTTTTGCAACCAAAAATAACTAAAAATGAATGAATATGTAGTATAGTTCTATGATATAACTGATTGCGTAATTTACATGCATTTGGTGCAAATATGAGACAGTATTACTATTTTCATAAACTGCATGATCATTGATAGACAGTTATAAGGGGTCGAAATTTGGGGGAATTCTCTTGTATTGTGTCAGCACCTTGTAAGTTGATGTATTTTGTATGAGCCAGCAGGATTCTTCTGTGCTCACCCCCTGAATCCTAAACAGTAGTGGGGGCTGCCATCTGCAGCAAATGTAAATGTGCTTTTACATGGCAGCTGTTAAATGCTAACTGTTTGTTGTTGTTCTTTCAGATACATTACCTGACATCTCTATCGGCTGTGACAAGTCTCTTATCGACCAGACCTACTCAACCCCTCGCCTGCCCTCTATCTCCTACACAGGGAGGTTCACCCTGGAGCCTGCAACCAGCTGCAGCAACAGCATGTGGGCAGAGCCATTATACAGCCTGGTCAGTGGGCTGATAGGCATGTCCCAACCGCCCACCTCAGTTGCCTCATGCTCCTCTGCTGTGCCGGTCAGCTCCTCCTCCCACACCATGAGCTGCCCCGTCCAAATCGGTGATTCCAACCCCATCTACTCGGCTGCACTCACCTACTCCAGTGTTAGCCCTGACCTCTTCCCTGACTCTAACCAGTCCTTCCCCAGCCCCTCAAACAGCTCAGTCCAGTACCCACCGCCCACCTACCCCAGCAGCAAGACCTGCTCCTCCAACATGGCTCTGCCCATGATCCCAGACTACCTGTTCCCCCAGCAGCAGGGTGAGATCAGCCTGCTTCCCCCTGACCAGAAGCCTTTCCAGTCTCAGAGCATCCAGCAGCAGCTCTCCCTCACACCCCTGTCCACCATCAAAGCATTTGCCACACAGACTGGCTTTCAAGATCATAAAGGTTCCTACCAGTCTCAGCTGGTCAAACCCAACCGCATGCGCAAGTACCCCAACCGCCAGTGCAAGACCCCTCCCCACAAGCGCCCCTACGCCTGCCCCGTGGAGACGTGCGATGGCCGTTTCTCCCGTTCAGACGAGCTGACACGCCACATCCGTATCCACACGGGCCAGAAGCCCTTCCAGTGCCGCATCTGCATGCGCAAATTCAGCCGAAGCGACCACCTGACCACACACATCCGCACGCACACCGGCGAGAAGCCCTTCGCCTGCGACATCTGCGGCCGCAAGTTTGCCCGCAGCGATGAGTGCAAAAGGCACACCAAGATCCACCTGAGGCAGGCGAAGGACAGAAAGGTGGAGAAGGCAGGGCCCACCCCCATGGTCATCCCCTCCCCAGTCTCAGGGTTCTCCTCCCCCTCCACATCATACCTCTCTCCCAGCTCCTCTTACCCCTCCCCAGTGCCCTCCTGCTACTCCTCCCCAATGCACAGCTCTTATGGCTCCCCATCAGTCAACACCATGTACTCCTCAGCCTCCAGTATATTTCAGACACAGGTTTCCACCTCATACGGCTCCCCCACAAACGTTTACATCTCCCAAGTGGGCACTCCTCAGTCAGAACTGCAGTCCACCCTCTCTCTAAAAAACATTGACATCTGCTAAGACTTTCACATCTTTAATTATCATTAATTTTTTACTTTTGACAAGAAAGAGGCAAACAACATTGTTACCTTTTCGAATGCACTTTTACTCCCTCTATGTCCATACAGCGATTAAAGATCATGAAACATGACAGAGAGAGACGACCGAGGATAGAAAGGGAACCATTTCTCTCTTCAACTCAACCTCATTACTTCAATGAGTCTTCAGAGATCTAAATAACATAGAATATTGTGCTTTGGTGGGACTTTTGATACTGACAACCTGAAATTCCAAAACACTGATGGTACACAAACATCCCCATGTATACTGTACATGTGCCATGTCTTGTTTTTCATCCTTTTAGACTTTGTAGATTAACGTTCTTTACATGGTATCATTTGAACTTGATGGCACCATTTTTCTCTGAATATATTTTCTCTTGTAGTAACAATGTGTGATAACTTTATTGGAGAAGAACAATGAAGTATTCGAGAATGTTAACTGTAACACTGACATTTGTTTCTATGCTTTGTATATATCACCCACTGGTACTATCTCCCCTGTTGTTCTTCTTTCACCATGAAATAATGAACTTTCTTCATTATCAAAGTTTTGGTGCCTTTTGTGAAGCTTAGCAAGCAAAACTATGTTTTGTTTATCACCCTGTGATTGGATGCATTGCATCTAAAGTAGCCTTAAAGTGTATTTTTCACGGAATGTACGAGATTTTAAGGGGCAACTTGGAGGAAACAGAGGTCACAGCTTACACAAGAATGTAAGCGAAATAATATATTTTGTATAACTGAAATGTAAATACAGTATGTACATATTCAGGAGTCAAAATGTTGTTGTTACCTACTGAGTAGGCATGGGATTTTTGTATGTATTTACATGCAGTTCCTTAGTTTGTGGTTATTTTTATTTGTTATTGTGTTTGTTAAAGCAAGTGACTGTTTTTGGCTTCTTAAGACATTGAATGCGCTTAACTGCCAAAGATATTTGGTGTACATGATATCCTTCAAGACCAGGGATATTAATAAAATATATATTATGATAAAATTGAGTTTTTTTCCCCCTCATTTTCTCAATCAATATTGCCCCACTCTACCAGAGACATACATTTAAATGAAACATCAAAGCACACATTGATGTTATTTGTTGAAAATAAAATGCATCTATTTAAACTGAAGAATAGAGCATTAGGGTTAGGGCAGAATATTACATTTGATGTCCAATACCACCATACTATTTATAGAGCCAGGGGCCCTGGTCAAAAGTAAGTAGTGCACTATATAAGGAAAAGGGTGCAATTTGGGATACATCAAGTGTCGTGACAGCAGAACAGTCTCAGGCCTCTCTCTGCTGCCAAGCCTCGGTCAATTCTCACACACACTGTCAGCTAGCTCATGGCTCCCATGTTTGATGTTGTTAGCCATGTTAAAGTGTTGTTTTAAGGATGCCTGTAATAAAGCTTTGTTGTTTCTGCCAAATCCCTTCACCATCGTTGCATTAAGGATTGTAGACAACTTTTTTCATCATGGTGTAATCAAGAAATCCCATGCACGCTATTCAATAATGTAGCAGAAGAGCTCATTCAGAGGAACCCCAAATCAAAGAGGAGATGACAGCAGAAAGATTTTGCAATATTCATCATATACTTGATACAGTTTAATGAATCACAGAGTAGAAGAAATATACATGATTTAATATGTTCTTAATATTTAGTGAAATATCTATCTTAAATCAAATTTCTAATTAAACAGTTAAGAACCGTAGGCTACAAAGGCAAAAAATGAAAACATTCAAATAAGGTGCACTACTTCTACTTAAAATATCCATATTCATAAATTAAAAGTAATAAAGTTATAACAACCATGTGCTTTTGAAACAGATCAAATGATATTTCTGGTATTTTGTTACACTCCTGCTTTTCTTTCATCACTATGGTCACATTACAGTCTAGAAACTCCTAGGGTCCCTTCTCTCCACTGGGCTCCACATCAACCTCTTTTCATCATACTAGCATTGTGAACTTATAGGTGTGGAGGCTTAAATATTTCACATTACATTCAACCTGTTTTAATGTACTCTAATGTCTTATTCAGAAACCATCCTTTAATATGACTAAACCAGGCAATGGATTTCACAATGGTCTCGATAATCTTGCTCACATAACTCATTACCTTTAATTAATGTCGTTCAATAGACCCTACCAGCTTAGTGGACTCGAGACCAGGCGCTTGGAAGAGGCTTATATGATGATTTCATACTTTTTACTTGCTTATTGAATCATGGTCATCAAGGGTCATAGTAGATTTAGATCCCCAGAGCTAGAAACACAGTTGAGTCATGTGACATGGTCCATTGCCCTCCCACTGTTCTAATATGACGTGGCATTGCAGGTGGGGAAATAACCACAATGAAAACCACAACGCTTGTCAATTCTCCTCATTGCCATGGAGACTTGATCTAATGACTAACGTCCATGACAAATTGCTTTGTAATAGATCTTCAGTGTGACATAATTTGTGTACAGGCCAACTATAAAGATGGGGATCTGTCTGGCTGATTTGTACATTTTGTCACAACCAGACACCAACTTGCAGGTTCACAATTGTATTCTATTAGCTTGTCTTCAGTTTCAAGAATCACTATTGGTTCATGTTGGAAAAAGTTACAATATTTTGAAGACAATTTTTCTAATAAGGAGAAGAGGTGATACTTAGGGTCAATCCCAAACTGCTCCACACACACATCAATCCTCACAGGGCTGTTATCATCTTTACCCTCTGCAGTATTTGTATCGCATGACTGTAAGTTGCTTTGGATAAAAGCGTCTGCTAAATGGCATGTTATTATTATTATTATTATTATTATGGATCACAGAGCCATTATACACTGTACAAAACATTAGGAACACCTGCTCTTTCCATGACAGACTGACCAGGTAAATCCAGATGAAAGCTATGATTCCTTATTGATGTCACTTGCTAAATCCACTTCAATCAGTGTAGATGAAGGGCAGGAGACAGGTTAAACAAGGATTTGTAATCCTTGAGACAATTGAGGCAGGGATTGTGTATGTGTGCCATTCAGTGGGTGAATGGGCAAGACAAAATTATTTAAATGCCTTTGAACAGGGTATGGTAGTAGGTGCCAGGCGCACCAGTTTCAATGTGTCAAGAACTGCAACACTGCTGGGTTTTTCACGTTTACCGTTTCCCGTGTGTATCAAGAATGGTCCACTACCCAAAGGACATCCAGCCAACTTGACACAACTGTGGAAGCATTGAAGTCAACATGGGCCAGCATCCCTGTAAAACGCTTTCGACACCTTCTAGAGTCCATGCCCCGACGAATTGAGGCTGTTCTGAGGGCAAAAGGGGATGCAACTCAATATTAGGAAGGTGTTCGTAATGTTTTGTACATTCAGTGTATGTCTATGACGGTGAGGAGCCACGGAGGTCCCTCCACCCTCCTTCTGGCAGAGGAACAAGTGGCCGTCAAGGGCCTCTCAATCACAGGCCTTGTGGTCTGACACCAACCTGCTGCCACATTCAACTCACAACCAGGCACAAGAGGAGTATGCTGTGTATGCCCCAACTCACGGCATGGCAAAGTTGATGTCATGCTGGGAATTGTACGACCTATTAGAAACCACCTCTTACAAGATTGTATGTTGTGTCATAAAAAAAAAAGTATTATTTGGTAAGTACTGTGTAGATAATTGCATATGGTGTTGGAGTCATATTGACTCATATTGGAGACTAATCAACATACATTTTAGCACCTATTGTTGTGTTCCTGAATATCAAACCTATAACCCTATATGCTGAAAAGGTTAACCAACCTTGCCCTGCACTCCTCAGAACCACCTTTCAAAGCCACCATTCATCCTTCCTTCACCAGCCGTCAAGGAATTGTTTAACTCTCATATGGTAGTATAACGATAATGGTGTTAGGGCAGTTTTTGTCATTTTTAAGTTTCTTGTTTGAAGAGTGACTGAGTCTGATTTAATGAATAAACGGTTAGCTAGCTGCTCGGCATGGCTAGGCTGCTGGTGGCGTTAGCTCTGGCTGTGAGTTTCAGGAGTAGTTAGCCTCGTCTGATATGCAGCTACGGTAATATACTAACTAACCACAGATAAGAAAAGAGGGTAATTAAGCATGTCCAAAAGTAGCACAGTAACAGGACAAAAAAGATGTCCACAGCCAGCCAACCCACTAGTCAGCATGGGGATGCTGTTGTTCTGACACTGTGTGGACCCGTCACCCAGAACACACATCCCAACCCTCATGTCTCATGTCAGTATGAAAAATGTATGCACTCACTAATGCTAAATGACTAAAATGTAAATGTAATAACCCCACTGTTCATAACCTTGGCTGCAAATATCCAGGGGCTGCTGAGCACGCCCTTTGCGTGAACCTGTATGACGACACCGAAACCTAAGTCTTAGAGATGGGGTAGATGCTCACGAACCATCTCTTTCCCTATGAAAACAGCCCTTTTATCCCTCCCTTCTCTCTGTCCATGTCTCTGGTGCAGGCAGCAACAGGCCCATAGGCAGGTCTCCAGGGGTGATACCAATGTCGGGGTCAGATACAGAAAAGCTGTTTTTGGTAATCTTATTTTTGACTGGACTCAATGGTGCCTTTTGATGTAGAAACACAATATGAGGCCTCTCGTTGTTTAGGGTTAGTAGAGTAGGCCTTTGACTGGCACCGCTGTGAAACCCACAGAAAAGGATTAAAACAGTCTGCCAGACATGTGAGCACACATCATAAATAAGACACAACTATCAGAAGCCACGTTCATACCTGGTTCTAACATGCGTCCTTTGTCCTGATCCTGTCCTCGTTTTGATTGTGCCCATTCATTAATTGGGGCAATAAGTTCAGGATAGTTCAATGTAGTTTAGTAAGCAACACACGGGTAATGTCTGATGAATAGTACAATACTCATAGAACTTGCACTGTACTTTATCAGGCACCACAATTACCTGCCTACTATCTTACAT